GCGCTGTCAGTCCTGACTCTTCTCTCCCTTCCAGGGACAAGGTGCACCCTATGCTACCCTGTCTCTTGAGGCTCCTCTTGCAGACTTCATTTCCTCTTCCTTGGATATCTTGAGGCTCCAAAGTAAAGAACCTCTCAGTCAATGAAGGAGAGGACAGGCCTTGGATCCTCTGAGGTGTTAATGACCTACCTTTTACCCCAGCCCATCCCCCGGGGCTGGCTCCTTTCAGTTGAGCTAGGCTGTTTTCAGTTAGAGCAGCTAGCATTTCCAGAGGACACAAACCCTGATGACCAGCCGTGTGCCTCCTAGTCAGGGTGGGCAACTGGCTGCTTGTTGGGTTGAGGGGCAGGTCCAAAGTAGTCAGGCAGATTGGGGATAAAGTGTTCTTCCAAAGAACTGGGGAGCAGCAGAATTCCTTCCCACAGCAGCTCCTTCATCCACTGGCAGTGCACCCGCCCCTGTACTGGGCAGTGGCAGTTTGGATCTCTGAGAGCATAAACCACTGCCTGGGCATGACTCTACCTGAGACTATGCAGCAGGTATGGGCTAGGAATAAGGAGAAAGATCCTTTCCTGCCCCATCAATGGTACCAACTGTGACCATCATAGAAACCTGGGCCTGCTTTCCTTAGAAAACTGTTAGAAGACCCTTGATGTGGGGCTGATGAAGAGGTGGCAACTGAGCAATCAAGCCAGCCCTGGCCCCTGGGAAAAGGACAGAGGTGTGCATTCTTCCTGGTGTCTTGGAGAGTTCAGTCCACTCAATTGCAGTCCTTGAGAGCTACACAGCTATTGGCAGCACCTTGCTGCTTCCAGATTGCCTGTCTCCTCTCTTTGTCTCCTGGAAGTCCTGTGGGGCGAGCTGTCCCACATGCCCTCCAGTGGTTGTGTCTCCTTCCAGGTCCTGGACATATCAGCTCTCCCAAGGGTGTGAGCAAGGTGCTGGGCTGACTGATCTGGGAGACCCCCCGGCTCCAGGTGCTAAAGCCTGCTCATCTGCCTGCCCCCAAACCTCCTTAAGCCACTCTACCTGTGGGCATCACCATGGCAGCCCAGAGCAGAAACACTAGTTTCACACCCAACTTGAATCTACCCCAAGACCATGGCTCCTCGCTCTCCTTCAACCTCAGCTACGGTGATTATGACCTCCCTCTGGATGAGGACGAGGACATGACCAAGACCCGGACCTTCTTCGCAGCCAAGATTGTCATCGGCGTGGCCCTGGCAGGCATCATGCTGGTCTGTGGCATTGGCAACTTTATCTTCATTGCTGCCCTTGCCCGCTACAAGAAGCTGCGAAACCTCACCAACCTGCTCATTGCCAACCTGGCCATCTCCGACTTCTTGGTGGCCATCATCTGCTGCCCCTTTGAGATGGACTACTACGTGGTACGCCAGCTCTCCTGGGAGCATGGCCATGTGCTCTGTGCCTCCGTCAACTACCTGCGCACTGTCTCCCTCTATGTCTCCACCAATGCGCTGCTGGCCATTGCTATTGACAGGTGAGAACAGTGAGCCGGGGGCACAGCCAGCCAGGCTGCCCTGTGTCTCACTTTGTCCCTGACAGGCTGGTGTTGCCCCAGACTGGAATGCTCAGTGATCTGCCAAAGAGCAGGGAGACCCTGACTTTGCAGCCATGTTCTGTTCCCCCAAATATGAGTGAGGGGGAGGAGGCTCCTGCATCCCCCAGATCAGGCCTTGCCCTCAGAGGGAGGGATGCATGTACCATAACACCAGGTACAAAGCACAACAGAATATCCACACAGCCTCTGCTTAGAAACCACAGGCATCTTAGTTAACTAGGGCAACTTCTAGTCAAGACCTCAGATACCAAGTTCTTCTTGTAGCCAGAGAGATATGAGGCATTCATGTTCACTAGAAAATGTGCTAGTACCCCCAACCAGCCCAGCCCCACCCCAGGAAACCTTCAATCTGATTTTTATCATCATAGTTCTTAACATAATTCTGCCTGTTCTTTAACTTCATAAAGAAAAGGAATCACCCAGTATTTAGCCTTGTTTTTGATAAGTTTGTTGCAGAGCTGGTTTTAAATAAGATAGCAGGGTTTGCTTACAGAAAAGAGGGAAGGACATGGGTGCTTTTGCTTTGTGCATAATTGGTGTGCTCATTTGCGTACATTTGCATAAGATGTTCTAGAAGTCCTTGCTCTATTATAAATCTATAACATAAAATTTATAACAGCAGCTAATGACACATCTTACGCATGTTTCATTTATGCAGAGTTACAGGCCAGCATCAGATCAGTGACAGCATCAGTGACTCTTTGAGGGGTTCACTTGTCACATCCTCTTGGTGACTGTCCACCCTTTTGAGCTGTGCAAAAACTCATTTTGATAAGGTGCTTAATCATCTTTTTTTGCCTTTCATTTCCTTTCAGTGCTTCAGTTTTTCCTGTCAGTGTCATTTGGGTGTTTTATCCTTTTTAATCAACTGGTTTATTATTTTCCATTGAGGGCAATAAAATACACATACAGGTACAAGATGCATCTTCCTTTTTATAGCATAATACCTGCAGGAAATGCACTTTTATTGAAGTTTGTAGGTTCTGTGGCCCTGGCTTATGAATTACATGCTTACCAACCGGTTAAGCAAACCCACCAGGGAAAATGGCACAAAGGATCATTTGATAAAATGATGCAGAAGGATTGCTGAACCCCACCCGAGCCTCCTGAACGGGGATCTTTGGGGACGGCTTGGGAAATCTGCATGTCCAGCTGCTCTAGTGATTCTGGTGCTTGCCAAAGGAAGAGTGATCTGCTGTTGTCCGGTTGTAGTTGTAACCTTTGTCTTTGGTTCTTTGGTTGTTGTTTTGTTTTGTTTTATCTTATTCACAGCACGGAGGTCTCTTAGGAAGGAATCATCCTGCTCTAACACAACAGAAAACAGACAGGGTCCTTTTCCACCCTAAGCTAACCCTGTGGCCACTGCCTCCCAGCTCTGTGGGCAATGCCACCACCCACCCATAACCTTCTGCCTTCCCACCACCAGGCCCACCCCATGTCCAGCCATACACTCACTGTGGCAGCCGCTCCTCCAGCCCCATCTCTAGCAGGCTATGGCTGGACCGTGGTGCTCTTCCAACCCACCTTTCGTTCCTGGAACCCTACCTGTCCCTGGTAATCCATACTCATGCGTAGGAAGCATACAAATAGCGCCCCCCCCCCCGCCATGGACCTTCCTAAAATACTGTTGTTTATGAAATCTCTAGACTTTCCACTGCCCACAGAACACATGACAAATCCTGAACATGGCCTGAGTCCTGCCACTCTAGGCCTGTAGAAGCAGATGCCAGCCTGCTTTCCAAACTCAGGCTATGTGTAGAAAAGCAAGTAGTCTGTTCCAAAAGGCAGGTTGTTTGGAAAACAATAACCACATCTCTCTTTTTGTCTCCACAGTGCTGACAGAGCCTTACACCTCTGTCTTAGTGAGTTATTCCTGGACCCACAGACAAGGATCCATGCCCAGGTCGCACCAGGAAGGACCTGTATGGCAAAATGGGACATGAGTCTAGGGAGAGAAGGCAGTTAGTGCGAGATGTTGTTAAGCAGGTTTCCACTGTGGGCAACTAGAGCTCTTTCCTGACGAGGGAGCCTCAGAGCAGGGTTTGAGAGAGCTGGACTGTCTATGTCCTATCTCCCATAAGTCTCTGCTGCACCTTGTTCTGGTAGCCAGGAGGACCATGGAAGCAAGAGTCAGCCTTGGAAGAAGGTCAGGTGTGGGAGGTGGGAGTAGACAAGTGTGTGGAGCAGGGGACATGGAGAGCAGCCACTGCAATCTGACTGACCCAGAGCTGTGTATCTGGGAACAGATGAGTAGAAGACACAGTCCTTGACCTCAGGGATCTTCCACCTAAAACTTAGAATTTATGAAACATAAAGAGTAATCAAAAGATATTAATTCATAAATGCTAGTGGGTTTTTTCTGTCTTTTTCTTTAGGTAGTACTCAGCCTTTATACTGAGCTACATTCCAACCATTTTTTTTTTCAGTTTTCTTTTTTGTTTTGTTTTGTACTTCGAGATAGGGAATAGAGGTTCAAAATCACTAAGTAGACCAGTTGGACTTGAATTTGCAATCCTCCTACCTCAGCCTCCCAGCATCACAGGTGTATGCCATCATGCCTGGCATAAATGCTGGGTTTTATTGCAAGAAAAGATTTCTGAGAAACATGTAATTACGAACCTTTTTTTAAAATATATATACAAGGTCTACAGGTTCTCATTACACAGATTGGGCTCATAGTGATCCTCCTGTTTTCAGCCTCCCAAGCGCTGGGATTACCACACTCAGTCTCAATTGTTGTCTCAGCGCACCCCAGGGGCAGGGCTGGCACAGCACTCCGGGGATTGAACCCCAGTCCCTGTGCCTGCCTAAGCAGGTGCTTTAGTCCGCTGAGCTATCTGGCCAGCCCATGAAACTTGTAATTACTGATAGAGGAGATAGCTGGAGAAGGAGGCTTTCCAGTTGGGGGTGGGATATATAATTGGTGAGAAGAGGGGTCTTACCAGTAGGACTTTGGGGTCTGATAAACCTCAAAGTTGCAAAGGCAGCAGATGAAATTTCAGGCTTTAGGCTGCAGGAGCTTCATAAATGGCACCTGTCTGCCTCTGTCAGATTCTAAACCCAGTGGAAAATAAGGCAAGTGTTAAAAGATGGGTGGTAAATACTCTTGCCGCGATGATGCTAATTTGGGGAAAAGGGCTTTGTGAGGAACCCTAGATGCTCAAACCCAGAAAGACAGAGTCCTGCATCCCCAGGAGAAGCACAGGGTCCCTTGGGTCAGACACCCCATATCTCTGCTATGTGGAGATGTCAACAGGACCCCTCAGTGCCGGCTCTGCATCTGGCAGCCAAGGGTGGAAGGAAGTAGATAACTTTATGAAAGACACCCAGATAGACGGCAACAGACTCACTGACAGATGAGTCACAGGAAATGAGCAAGTAAGCAAAGTGCTGCAGCTTCCAGCATGCATTATGTATGTTGACTGTCCTGGAACCTGACAAAAGTCTTGACAGATTGTCAATGAGCTTATCACCCCCATTGCACAGATGCAGAAACTAAGTCCCAGGAGCATCAATGATGCATCTAAGTGTCAGCTTGGATCCGGGCTTTCTAAATGACTCCTGGATCAGTGTTCTTCTTTGTGATTTATGGGATGACAGTCCTGCATTGTGGAATATCCTGCAGAGCACAGAAGTTATTGTTAGAGCCCGGTGTGGTGGCACATACCTGTAGTCCCGGCACTTAGAAGGCTGAGGCAAGAGGATAATTCAAGGCCAGGCTGAGCCACATACTGAGACCCTGTCTCAAAACAAAACAAAAAGCAGAGTATGGAAATGCCCTACTGTGGTGGTTACCAAAATACTGTCCATGAAAGAACTCCATTTAGAGAAAGCGATTATCCCTGGGTTTATTCTGCATTCCCTACAGATTTTGGATTCAGCATGGGAGACAGAATAATGCCTGCCCCCAAGGATAACCACATCCAAATTCCCAGAACCTATGGACGTGTTACGTTACATGCCAAATAGGAATTAAGGTAGCAGAAGGAATTAACATTGATAATCAGCTGATCTTGAGATAGGGAAATACTCTGTGCTACACAAGCTAGGTGGAGCCAGTGGGATTGGCGGTTCTTAACTCATGGAAGAGGGAGACACAGAGTTAGTGTCCACATGAAAAAGACTGGCCAGGCCATCACCAGCTCTACACAGATAAAGGCCTTGAGGCAAGAAATGCAAGCAGTCCTGGAAAAGGCAATGAAGGACACTGTCCTGCTGCCACCTTAGCTTTAGCCTAGCAAAACCCATGTCTGATTTCTGGCTTCCAGAATTGTAGAGTAAGTGATTCATGTTAGTTCAAGCCTCCGTGGCTGTGGTCATTTGTCACAGCAGCCACAGGAAGCAAATTCACCAGTCATCAGAGAAGGTGGGGAGGGAGCTTCGTCTGTTCCTTTTGAGGAGAGTGGGCCTACTTGTCCGTCTCCTGTCCTGTGAGCTTTGTCACAGGCCCCCCAGACCAGTCACGTGAATGAATGAAAAATTCCAGCGACCTCAGTGCAGTTGGAAGCAGCCACCAGGGTGCAACAGGGGCCAGAAAGGACCAGCTCCATCCTAGGTAGCCCCAAAACCTCCAGCTGGGGGAGTGTGCTGCCACCAGATCGCTTGATGGAGTTCGGTGGCTTAGAGCCACCAGAAGACAAGAGAAGATAGGACACACCTGGGGCAGAAATAGTGCCAGGAACCAGAAGCAGCAATGTGGCAGAGTGAAGTCAGAGTCGGAAAGGTGATAGAAGGGTCTGGTTAGAAAGAAAGGTGAGTGGAATCCTCTATGCACCCTCACCTGATTCAGGCTCTCAGCGTGAGTGACATGTTCACTTCCAAGGTTGACTTTCTCCTCATAGGCCCATCAGGCTTCCACCATCTCTTCCTGCTTCCCACCTATAACAGGCAAAGAAATGAGCAGCTGGCATGGTAGTGCATGCCTATAAGCCCAGCACTCAGGAGGCTGAGGCAGGAGAATCACCATGAATTCAAGGCCAGCCTGTCTCCAAAAGAAAACCCAGAAATTATTCCATGGCACCAAAATGTCCAATGAGTTTTATCACTAGATCTCACTGGAAAGAAAGTGCCCAATCCACGTGGATGCACTTGTTTTCCACAGAGAATCCTGAACTCTGCTTTCCCAGGCAGTGTAGCTCATTGAGAGTACAGGTAAAGCCTGACTTCATAGTCCCCTCGTCTGAGTGTGTCACACCCAAGGAGGTGAGCAGCAGCATGGATCAGGAGCCTGGGCTTCGGTGGCTGTAGGGCACAAGCTCAGGCAGACATTTACTTGGCCTTAGAGTCCTTGGTTCCTACCAAGCCCGTTCCTGCCACCCTGCCTCTTTAATAAGGGTGATACTCCATGGGAGGGAGGCAAAGCCTCTGATTTCCAAATTGCACAGCCCTCCCTTCGCCTCTAAGCCCTGAGATCTCTGAAGTGAAAAGCTTTGAGAGTATCACATTCTTGGACAGAACAGCAGGATTGAGAGCGAGGGTGGGGTAATAGGACCATTGGTAATAACAGGCCATGTGCGTCTCCTGAACACCAGCTGCACGCTGAAGGTTTTCCATTCTCATAGTTTGTGCTCACAGCCACCCTGCAGGGTAGCAGCACTGGGTCCCAGGTTACGCTGAAGGAACCAGATCTCAAAGATTGGGTGATTTGTGCAGACTCCTAAGCCAGTCCAGAGAAAGCCAAACTGTGCCCAGCCTGTTTGGTCAAAACCTTGGCGCCATTTCCACTAAACCACTGCACTGCTCCATAATCAGGTGATGCAGCAAGCATACAGTGACACTGGCTTAATCTGGGACAGGGCACCTGGGGATTTGCTGTGCTGTTCTGTCTGCTTTCATATATGTTAGGAGTTAAAAAGCAGTCATGAGCTGTGAGTAGTGGTGCACATCTGTAATCTCAGCCCACTGGGGGCTGAGGCCAGAGGATCTCAAGTTTGAGCCCGGTCTGGGGAATTCAGTGACTTTGATACCCTGTCTGACAAAAAGGGATGGGGAGGTAGCTCAGTGCACAGCCAAGTTCAATTCCTTCTACAAAAAAAAAAAAAAGAAAGAAAGAAAGAAAGAAGAAAGAAAGAAAGAAAGAAAGAAAGAAAGAAAGAAAGAAAGAAAGAAGAAAAATAATCCCAGTGAATGATGTTTCCAAGTATGCATCACTGTGATCTTTGGCTGCTCTCCCCCACCAGATACCTGGCCATCGTCCACCCCCTGAAGCCACGGATGAATTACAAGACAGCCTCCTTCCTGATCGCGCTGGTCTGGGTGGTCTCCATTCTCATTGCCATCCCATCGGCCTACTTTACCACGGAGACCGTCCTCTTCATTGTCAAGAGCCAAGAGAAGATCTTCTGCGGCCAGATCTGGCCAGTGGACCAGCAGCTGTACTACAAATCCTACTTCCTCTTCATCTTTGGCCTGGAGTTCGTGGGCCCCGTGGTCACCATGACCCTGTGCTATGCCAGGATCTCCCGGGAGCTCTGGTTCAAGGCTGTCCCTGGCTTCCAGACAGAGCAGATCCGGAAGCGGCTGCGCTGCCGCCGGAAGACAGTGCTGGTCCTCATGGGCATCCTCACAGCCTACGTGCTGTGCTGGGCACCCTTCTACGGCTTCACCATCGTGCGCGACTTCTTCCCCGCCGTGTTTGTCAAGGAGAAGCACTACCTCACTGCCTTCTACGTGGTCGAGTGCATCGCCATGAGCAACAGCATGATCAACACCGTGTGCTTCGTGACAGTCAAGAACAACACCATGAAGTACTTCAAGAAGATGATGCTTCTCCACTGGCGCCCCTCCCACCATGGGAGCAAGTCCAGCGCTGACCTTGACCTCAAAACCAGCGCCGTGCCGGCCACAGAAGAGGTGGACTGTATCCGGCTGAAGTGACCTGCCGTGCTCTGGAATTGAAAATGTAGCACCAGTACTTAGAGTGTCACACACCATCAACCAAGTCACAGGCTGTGCGACAAGGTACAGCTGTGTCCACAGCTCCCTGCCCTCCAGGAGCTGGATGCTTCTGAGTAATGACACACAATGTCCAGATACCAACCACCCCAGCCGGCATTCACTGATGTCTACTGAACACCCACCACGTGCAAGGCACAATGACAAAACTAGACACAATTGGCAGCAAGTGACATGGACCACACACCTACGGTGAGCAGACCACTCCAATGTGATTGCACAGCATGATGGGGACTGACACTTACCGATAGCATTCTGTGTGCAGGAACTTGGAAAGCAAAGCAAAGTGGCAGAAGCTATTGCAGTCATTAAGCTATATGTAGATGTATAAAGGGCTGGACAGAAGCCACTTGTGGTTATCTGGATCCCCCAAGCCCCACCTGTGTTCCCTCATTCTGTCCCTTGTCCATGCAGGAATTCCAAGAGGCTGCAGGAGAGGGCACTCGGACACAGTAGAAATTCAAGGACAAGTCCCTCAGTATGGAGTTCACTGCCTCATGGGAAAAGTCAGTGCCAGCGCACTGGCCGTCCCCACCCAGCTCCTACTATCTTCTGAGATATTCTTTAGGATATTCTCTGAAGAGTAGTCTTCCTTGAGACCAAGCCAGTCTATGGTTATACGGTTATCTACCATCGTGTAATTTCAAAGGGAAAGAAGCAAAATGTCTTTGCCCCCATCCTAGAATCTTGTCATTCTGTTGGCTTAAGAGAGGCAATCTTGGGGCTGGGGAGATGACTCAGTAAAATAAGCACTTGCTTGGCAAGCACAAGGTCCTGAGTTCAATCCCCAGTACAGGAAAAAAAAGGGGGCCAATCTTGAGAACACACCAGTTCCTGAAGCTTCAGAACAAATGATTCCAGGAGCTCCAAGGGCAGAGGAAGAGACCAGAGAGTTGGAGGTTGCCACTGGTGATGAACATAATTGTGTAGTTGCTTTACAAAGACCTGAACCATTTCCTAGAATATGCCCTCTTTTACAAAAAGAGCATTTCTTGGAATCCCTGGGTTCAAGTGTGACTCGAGGGATCATGTGACCTAGATGTCTCTCCTCTGTGTCTCAGTATGGCTTTGATGAATGGGGACAATGAAGATACCTCCTCTGCCTGATGTTCTCAGTACCATTGGGAAAGCCTTCTGAGGTCATAGTATATGAATATAATTTTCAACTGTACACATGGTAGTAATGAGTAAGTGATGTTGAACCATTTGTTTGACAGGAGTTTGTTTAGGAATTCCATGTCCTATAGGGTTTTGGGGGGTTTTTTAGGAAGAAACACCTCTATTTTTTATCCTTATTCTTTGGACCAGGGACCCCTGAATTCTTCACAGTGGCCCATCTACACCGGGACAAAAAATGGCATCCCTGTCCCAGGATATCATGACGAAAGTGGAGCCCCAGACTCAGCATCTCGAGGTGTTAGCCATGTTGGCAGTGTGTTGTCATTGTCCTGCCCCAGGCCAAGTCCCTCTGTATCACTGCACACCTGTGGTGGTCACGAGGGCATATCCTCCTCCCTTCTGATTCCTTTTCAAGCACAGACTGTACACAGGGGTGAGCTTGGCCCTTCCACATTTAGTCCACTCCTAATTTTTTGTAAAGAAGGAATTATTGAGTTGTTCTGCTGGCTTTTAAAAATTGCTTGTTGATTTGTTGCTCCGCATTGAGGTTCCAGCCAGTTATTTTCTGCCGTCCATGGATGAGCTCACCGTGAGCTTTGGTGATCAGTGTACTCACCACCGTACCAGCCCACAAAGCATGGCTCCTGCATCCTGATGTTACAGCATTTCACGATGCATTCTAAAGCCAAGTAAGACAAGACTTTAGGTTGTCTCCGAAGTATAATAGTTGTGTTTTTATTTATTATCTTCTCAGAAGCCAATTTTTCCTTTTTATATTAAATTGTGCCATCCCTCTTTCATTTAAATTTAACTGAAAGAACTTGTAAATATCAATGTTTTGTGATTTTTTTTTCCAGTGAGTGACTGTGTTGTGTTGTTACCAAATGGAATAATCAGCGTAGCGTATAGAATCATAAATCCCAGTGGACACATATGTCCCTACTCCTCTTTTATGTCATAGTTAGATATAAGTGAAGTCACAGCCATCTAAACGGTGCAGCCCTGAACAGAAAAAGGATTTTTCCTAAGTGTTTTTAGAAGAATAGCAGTAGCTCAGACCCACAGCGAGGGTCCTCCCTCCTTCGTCCCTCCTGCTTCCTGACCGGGCGGGTATTCCTGTGTGCGGGCAAGCGGGAACGATGACACCCGTGCTGCCCTTCGCTTCGAACCTGGCTCGTCGAGTGTAAGCTGCTGCTGCATGGCGACCCTGCCTCCCTACAAGTGGGACTGAGACAATAAACCATCGCACTCGTGTTTGCTCTTCTCAAGGCCGGGTACTGGTAAGCTGCGGGGACTGTTGATGCGCTGATGTACACATTTATACATGTTATTATATATTGAAATTTTTAATCTCAGTTGGCAAAACAGACAAGTTTCCTCTGCCAGAATAAAACGTAGCTCTGAAGTGACACTCGGAGATTTTTCTTTCAGCGCCCAACATTTAAAATAAGTTGCTAAAGTCTCAAATTAGAGAAATCAAAAGGGAGCTTCACGACCTCACGCGTGAAGACCGGTCCCGTACTTAACAAGGAAGAACATGGCAGGCGAGGCGCAATTAGAGCAGCAAGTTCTGTTTCCACCAGAGAATGAGGGCGCCACAGCATACCTGTCCCATCTAAGCATCGTGTCTGCACAGCTCTCAGCAGAACGCCAGGATGGGAAAGGCCTTAAGGGCACATAATCTAACTGCCTCTTTTCTCAGATGAAATGTGAGTTTCATGTGAGGAAATGAGTTGCCTGAGGATATGCAGCAAGCCCTTGCTGGAGCCAAAGCTCTGCCCCAAGATTTTACCTCCAGGCCAGTGGGCCGCCTGCAGGGCCACCTACATCTGAGTTCCTGAGAATGTTCAAAGGGCCCTTTCAGTGGCACCTGGGCACACAAGACTTTTGAGCCACAAGGATGGCACCTTCCTTCCCTGTCCTTCCACACTTCAGGATTCCAGGGAAACCACAGAGGGTGACATCAGGACTGCTTTGTCTTTTCTCCTTGAGCGCCCATGGAGCTTTTTCCAGTGGTGCAGGGAGCCTTGAGAAGCAGGCTGCAAGGAGACCCAGCCACACCCCAGGGAAAGCAGAGGGGGAGGGACCCTTGTGCAAAACCAGGACAGAAGGTGTGGTGTGCACGCAACCCTGGCTGGCCTGAGTAGTCGTTCCTCCTGTCTCCGGGTGAAGCAGGCTGGAGTTCTCCTGACTCTCCCATGTTGCCCTCACAGCTGGAGGGGGGCCTAGCTTGTCCTGCACCTGTTGTACCCCTCGCATCATTTCCCATTTTCCCCTTCAACTCCCAATGGTTGAGGACAACTTACTTCACTGTCTTCCCTGGCTACCTAACAGCCATTATGTCACTCCACATCACAAGTGCAGCTATGGTGTCAGTGTCCCTCCTCCTCCTGCCACCAGGCCATTCCCTTTTAAAGAAGAGCACGGGGCACCTGGAATGGCTAAGATCAGGGAGGGAGGGATCTGGGCCCACGTTTACATCTCCTACCTCCACAACTAGCCTTCTAGAAGATTCCCCTGGTTTCTCCCATGAATCATCTCTGGATGCTGGCATGACAGCTGCAGCTGTCCTGGAGTCCTGCACCAATCACAGGGCCGCATGTGCAATACAAACAGCACCCCCTAGCCACTTCTCCGGTTAGTCTAGAGGTCTCCCTCCAGTGTACTGACCCCCTGGGACTGTAGCTCAAATCCTGTTAAAATACTCAAATTTGATGTTTCCATAAACCCGCTCAGGATTTATTTCTCAGATAGCATGAGCTCCAAAAGTCCTATAAATCCACTCGGGATAGGAATTCTGAGTGGTGTGTACAAAGGTCAGTTCATAAGAAAGCTATGAACAGTAGAGGCTGTTAGCACTCAAGAGTTCCAAAGACCAGCAACCAATGGAGACCAGCAGCAGAGATGGACACCCAGTAGAGTCGACCTATGGTATCCGGCACAAGCTGACACAGGACAGTGGTGGCCAGAACAGCGGTGACCAGCAGCTGCCCGTGTCAAGTGTTAGCATCTGGCACTATCTGATGACATGGGACTGCTAGCAGAACTGTACCTGCCTATGCATCATTTGTATCTGAAGTGAGACAAAGACCCCTATGCTGATTAGCAACACCTGGGATCAGATGCCTTGGACACTAGGTCAGCCTCCCTTGCAAGCTGTACCAATCCCATCACTTCCAGGAGCACATCACCTCCTGGGGCTCCTGGGGCCCTCTCAAAGAATAGCACAATCACAACTTCTGCCACTGTTCCTTCCCTGACACAAGTTTGACAGCCAGTCACAAAATGGGCTGGGATACAGAGCCCCTGGTATGTCCAGTGACAGAGGCCCCCCAATGATGACACGCTCACTCAAGCAATACAACTTTTGCTGATCTCCATCTTTTTTCTCAGCTCTGTACTGGGAGAAACCTCACAACTGAGGCAGCGTCAACAGAGTGATCTTTGTTTTCATCAAGCGCAGCTTAAGGAAGTTTATCCAGTAGCAAGAGTGTGAGCATGTTAATCACCAGAGGCCTATACTGGCCCCGCAAGGAACTGCCAGAGAGCCTCACTAGATCATCAGCCTTCATGGGCTCCCTCTATTAAGGGTGGCTGCTTCACCCTTAGGCCGTGGGGCATGCCAGTACTTTCAAAGGCAACATTGGTAGCAGTAATAGATCTTGAGCCATGCACTCCTTCCTATACAAGTGTCCAAAGAGCTCAAAATAGGGAACACATGTTCTACATCATAAACTGCTTTAAAAATGTGTTTGACACTTTCTTCAGATACAGCCAACCATGAGAGCAGGATTATTTCAGTGGAATTTAGAAAACTACTGAGCAAGGAAATAGGCAGGGGCATTGTCTCCCAGAAGTGAAGAGGTCAACATGAAGGCAGACCAGAGTCCTGACAACCCTTTGTGGAGTCCTTGCAATCAAGCTCCATGTGTGCCTTGCAGATTCTTATCTCTAGAATCTCACTTATCGCTGACCTACATTCCCAGCTTGAGGTCCAGCTCCTACACAGATCACTGCATAGGCCAAGTACTGAAATCAGGCCCACTGTGTGAAGAAAAGGGTTTTCAGCCCGCTCATCTGGTCTCAATGCTGGATGCTATAGACAGACAACAAAGATGAAGGTGTCATTGAAATCTAGGTGACTCCTGAAATCATATGGGCTTAGTCCTACAGGAAATCTGAGACCTGGAGTGAAGCTATAGACACAAAGATGGATGAAGTTAGAGACAAGTCCTCCTAGCTGTGGGAAAAGGTTTGAGGCAAGGGGTCATTAGGGCACTGGAAGATGAGAAATGACAGGAAAGGGTAGCCCAGACTCTGGTGCACCTGACTTCTTTGCTCCAAACCACATTTACCTAAAATTCTTAATGTTGGGTTTACAAGTCTCTGGAAGACTCGAGTGCTCCTTCTAGTCCCCATAGCAATTACCTGAACAATTATCCTCTCCCCCAACCCAGTAAATCCATGCCCTAATCCCCAAACCCATGAATATGGAAGCAAAAAGAATAAAGTCATTAAAAGGATATATGTGTGTCCTCTTTACTCCTGGATGCCATATTCATGAATTTGCTTACAAACTAAACTTCATCTGTAATTTCAAAATCAGAACTAATTTGTTTTCATAGCTGTTCAGTGCACACATAAAATGATGAGAATTTTAGTTCAACAAGGTTCATGTGGACTGGGGAGATAGCTCAGCAGTCTAAGCTCCTGCCTAACAAGCTCTAGGACCCGGGTTTGATTCCCAGTACTGCATGTCATGCCAGCCATCTAGCTGTGGAGCATGACCCTGTACCACAAAAATAAACAAGGTTTATTTTCCCAGCTGAGGTTGAACCAGCTGACATTCTGCCTTCTTGTTGCAGCTTTCTGGTAAACAAGTGCTCTTTTCAAGGTCTATTCAGTGCCATGTCCTTTGCATTTCCTCACACAGTGCCGGAGGAACCTCGGGTGTCCCAAAGTACAGAAATGTTGTGATGTTCCTTACAGAGAAACGCAAGTGCATTAGAGCGACTTCACTCAGGCTTGAGGTAAGCACTGCCCATGAGCTCAGTGTCAGCGAACCAACAGTACATACTCCATGAGATGCTTTTAAGCAGAAACACATGTAAAGCAAGGCCATGTATTGACCACAAGACAA